AGCTCGTATGTATGACCGCACGATAATTTCCGCCTGCGGGTCATGAAGGTTGCAGCCAGGGTCCAAAACCTGTGTTAGTTCCTCTGCAGCGGCTGCATTTTCCACATGCTAATTTTACTCACAGGAGTTGGATTCTTTTTTTTAATTTTTTTTATTATTTCTTATTTGTCTCTTCCAGATGTTTTCAGGCAGTTTTTTTTTGTTGTTAAACTAATTCCATTCATGTTTTAAAAATTTATGAAAGCACTAATAAAAATGTCAAAGTGGTAAAAATGTTAGCTTTTGCTCTACTTTGATTAAATTTTGCAAACTGTTTTTGAATATTAAAAAGCAATATTTTTTTTTATTCTCTCTTCCTCTCTCTGTTTCTCTCCAGAAGTGATTTGAGAGGCTTGTTGCATGGGTATCACTCAGCAGGCTCATTTGCACTCCAGAACCTCGGTGCCATGCATCTCTATTAAATAACATAGACAAATTATTCTTTAAAGACACCAAACAAATTGTTGCTTCTGTTCTTACATTAAACTGGAAGGAGGAGAGGGAGTGGAGAAAGCAGGGGGTGAACACAAAGGATTTTATCGCTTTTATTCAGTAGTCGGCTTTTTTAATTTCATATATATTTTTTAATAATTGAGAAATCCATCGCAACTGGATTTGTTTAAACTTTTTATTAACAGGTCCATGTAAATTTTTGATTGCTGATTATTCAAATAATTGAACATTCTTCTGATAAAGGAACGTTTTTATTTCCCTGTCAGCATAAATTGACTACAAAGAGGAAAATGAAGTAGGGCTTGCTTGAAGTAGGGATGGGTTTGGGTGGGGGAAAGCTTCCAGCTCTCCTCCTCACTCGTGTTCTTCAGCCTCTGCTGGGAAAGAAATGCTTCGTGCAGTAGCTTCTGTTGGGTCTCTGGTGTCCTCCAGAAGGGTGATGAGGATGGGGCTGGTCCTGGGGAGGGCACAGCCTCTAGGGTGTCCTTGTTAAGCTCACTGCAGGTACACCTCCGTGTTCCCTGGGCAGGCTGACCGTCTTCCTGGGGTTCAGCTGAGGCGGTGACGGGTGCCCTGAGCACAGAGACCTCCTCGCCACCCGTCCCAACTGCGAAGAGCATCAGCACCTGCCTCCTCTGTGCTCACGGCGTTGGATGTGCTCAGTGTTCCTGCACCGCTTTCCCACTTGTATCGCAAGAGCTTTGTGTTGGGTTTGGTTTTTTTCGGGACTGTCAGACTCCTTTTCTTAGAGCCAACTTGCTAGGAGGGATCATTTCCAGCTTCATTTTTCACTTGTTTTAACTGAACAGCTGCTTTTCTTTTTGCCCTATTCAGGAAATCATCGAATTCCCTATCCTGAAGCTGAATGGCAGGACGATGGAGATCGAATCCACGTTTCACATGTATGTTCAGCCTGTGGTGCATCCCCAGCTTACGCCCTTCTGTACAGAGGTAAAGTGCAAAGGTTCCCCGGTGCTCCAAGAGTCTCCCTGGGAAGCAGGTTTTCATTGCACCAGGGGTTGGGGTTGCCTCTCCGTGGTGTGGATGCAAGGCAGCGTGTCATGCCAGCCTTGAGTTAAAGACAAGGGGAATCATTTTTTTGTCATTGCAGTAGCACGTAAAGAGGTCAGGTTTGGATTTGTAAACAGCACTAGCTATGATCTCCTAACTAAGGTGGTTATATTTATGGCTAATGGATGTCTGACTGGGTTTTGACCACAAAATAAACGTGTTTGTGTTAGCTGACGCTCAAAATCCAGTAGGCTCTCTGAGTTCTTTGTGATTTTACCGTGCTGCTCCTTTGTGGGGAAGGTCAGAGAGAGCTTGGTCCAAGGGAAGAACACGTACAGCTGCATGGGTCAGAGGCTTGAAATGTCTCTCCTGTAGGATACCCTGTGTCTGTGTTCTTAGGACTTTCTTTTTGATGTTGTGCTTGTGGGGCACTTGACGTGATTGTTGAAGAAGTGGCCTCTTGTTATTGGTCACTCTTGCTGCTGAGGGCAGCTGCTCTCAAGTTGCGATCACCTCACCCCAGATGCAAATGGGGGGATGAAGGTAGCAAATGCGATCCCTGAGGGTTCAAAGGAATAGGGGGCAGGGGTTGTTCTCTGAGTGGTGGTGTTTTCTTTGTTTGTTTTGTCTTGTTTTATTCTGTTGTTCAATGCAAAAAGTTAATTGTTCCTGCAAGTGCATTCTTCCTCCCTGCTGTACCCATCAGAACAGTTTAAGTTTCTTTTGCTTTGAGCTTTTTTCCTGTCGCTCCACTGATTAGATGTCGGCCAACTCAGTGCCTAAACTACTTATTGCTGGAATCAGGGTATAGAAGTTTTTTGTTCTGTCCCTGTCTCATCTGGGATCACTGACACCATGGTGTGTTTTCTCCGACCTCCATGGCTGTGGGTTTAAACCCTTGAAGTGCTTGTCCTGTGTGTACTAATTTGATGAAAAACGACTCCTCTGTGTTAGATGGAGTTCCCTCCAGGACCAGCCAGCCCCTTCCATATTTCCCCATTGTAAAAACAAATACTTTTTTTATTCTCTTGTAACTAAAAACCATCTGAAGGTATTTTATTTAAACTAAAAAAAAAAAAAAAGTCTAAGCACAGAAAACATTATTCCCAGGAGAGCAGCTTTCAGAAAGCTATAAATGTGTGAAAACAGAGGGTTATAATGGAAACAATTTTGCAACCTTAATGCTAGAAGGCTGGACAACTACTTTGGCTGTTCTTATCCCCGTGAGACTTGCTGGACATATGTTTGTACAAACGTGATAAATCTCACAGCTTGCACCTGAAAGCAACCTGAAAGCAACGTCTAGAAGTAGAGCCCACAGTATTCATTTTGTATGTCATCTGAATTCTAGAGAGAAGTCATCTGACTCGTTTCCTCCCACTAAAATTCCTTTTTTCTGGAAATTCCTCTGTTGCATCCTTCTCCTTGCTGCTAAAGGTTGCAGCTCTGCTCTTGTACCAGAGTCTGTATGACTTGTTTGGTGTGAGTGTCGGAGCTGAGCGGAGCCGCCAGCCTGAGGATGGTGAGAGGTTCTCCGGGTGCTGACAAGAGGTTCAGCCTATCTCATGCTCCCGTACTGCAGTCCTGGTTTCTCTTTCTTCCCTTACTCATGGGACCCTGGAGCAGCTGTTTCTGTCTCTGCAGGTTTGTGTCTCCTGCGTGGAGCCCCGGAGCAAGCGAAGCTCTGTGTGTGTGCCTGTGCGTACCTGTGTCCGTCACGTGTTTGCAGGAGTCCCCAGGATGGGCACGAGTGTCCCAGCTGCAGCGTTGTGCTGTAGACTCCGGTCCTTACAGCACTCTTGTGTCCACAATTTGATAAAAATGGGCAGTGCTGAGGCCAGCAGGCAAAATGATTGCAGAACCTCCGCCTGTGTGTATCGACGGCACAAAATTGTCCAGTTTGCCAGGTTTGGCAAGTTTCTCCGTTGTTACTGGTGTGGGTTAGGGAGCTGGGTTTAATCCTAGCCTGGAAGCCACCTGCTTGTGGGCAGCCCCCACAGCCTCTGTCCCTCCAGGTAGGTCACCCTGCCCGTTTTAGGGGCTGCCAGGAGGTCCAGGGAGTGGGATCGTGCTGAAGAGTAACTGGGCTTGTCTCTGGGCCCCGTATCTGGGGCTGTCTTTGAAACACTGCCCTAAGAGCCTGTTGTGGTTCGAGCCAACTGCCCAGGCCAACAACAAAGAACCACGCAGTCACTTGCTCGCTCCTTCTCCCACCTTCGTTCCCACAGGGATGTGGAAGGAGAAAATTCAACTAAAAGTGCTCAAAAATTGAGATGAGGACAGGGAGGGTCACCTCACCACTTACAATCGTGGGCAAAAAACAGAGTAGACTTGGGGAGAAAACATAAATTTAATTTACCACCACCATGTATTGACTAAACCAGAGTAGGATAATGAGTGGAATACAACCCAATCTTAAATACACACTTTCCCCACACCCTTCCCATCTTCCTGGCTACCTCCTCCCCCTGTTGGTGCAAAGTGGGGCAGTTTGGCAGCCTGGTCATTTCTCATGCAGTCCTTCCCTCTTGGGGAAGAGGACTCCTTGCAGTCTTCTGCTGCCACATGGTGTCCTGCTCACACAAGGCAAACCTCTCCTTTCACCCGAGTCCATCCCGCTCGGGGTTATGGGTTGCTTTGCGTGTGTCCTCTGCTCTTGGTGGTCTCTCCCCCGCTGCTACCAAAAACCTGGCCAGGCTCAAACCCATGTCAGAGCCACAGGTGAGCTGCTTGTACTGAAGACCTTACTAAACAGTAAAATTATCCTTTCATATTTGCAGCCAGTTTTTTGTGGAGGCCTCTGGGGTCAGTGGCTCCCGCTGGGCAGGTGCAGGGCTCAGCCCTGTGCTGCAGGCGCAGGTTCCCTGAGACCCAGGGGCACAGCTGGGACGCGTCCAGCTCCTGTGGAGCCGCTGCCCATGCAGCTCCAGCGCTCGCCATCGCCTTTCCGTTGGTTTATGTTTTCTGAAAAATCCCCATTTTGCTAAATGCCAGTAAAGGGCTTTGCTTAGACACCTCTGCTTACAAAGGGTGAGATTTATTGGCCTCTTTGTCTACAAAGAAAGCCCGAGCCTGGTTATCAGATTGTACACCAGAGACAAGCGCTTAGGTAATCAGCAAACTGTCTTGGAGTAGAAATACGATGGTTTCCCAGATAAACTCTGTAGGAAAAGCAGCAGTGTTGACATTACACGGGAGCCCGTGTGCCGTGCTGCTGTTTTGCCCTCTCCCCTCCGCTCGCTCCCTTCGCTGGGAAGCAGTCGGACTGCTCGGTACAGGCTGTGTCGGGGAGGATTACTGGGGTTGCTTGACATTACTCCTTAGGTCTGGAATACCTCTCGTCCCTCTTCCTTGCTGAAGATGATGGCGCAGCGTGGGAAAGGTGTCTGCAGTGGTGGAGAGCTTGTGGTCACCCTCAAGACATCCGAGCTTTTGACGTGCCTGTGCTCTCCTCTGGCTACAGGAGGTTCCTCTGACTCCCCACACTGCTGGGCAGGAGCACATCTCCCAGGGCTGGCTCCCTCTGTAGCCCTCACCTGGTCCCCTTTCTCTTCACCCACTTCTATAAAAGAACAGGTCCTGAGGCTTGGTTATGGTGAGAGAGGTGCTAAACGTTTAGACAGAGAAGGTGTAAAGTGCTTGCAGGTGGTTAAAAGCTGCTGCTAGGTGTATAAAGCTCCTCCTGCCCTTTTGGAAGATGTAAGTGGTTTCTCTGAAGCCCAAGAAAGTTCATGCCAGAAGCTTAACTGAAGGGCTCCCTCTACACAGAAGGTGCTTGTACAGGCTTTTTTCTTGGTGCTTTGCTCTCTTTTTATGATTAATTTGTATTGATTTTTTTTTTTTCCTGAGGGAACAGACAATAAAAGTACCAAAAGATAAATGCCTTATAGCTTGTTTATGTTCGCAAGTACCGTGTGCTTCTTGGGAGCACCAGTGAAACTTTACATTTGTGCAGTTGTAGGTTTTTATACTTTATCAAAGCTGTAAGACCAGATAATGCTGCAAAGACCCAGTGCACTAGGTTGGGTGTTACAGATGGATATAACTGATAACGGAAAATATCAGAAAGGGTGAGAGAGTAGAAATCTGGTCCCTTTTGAACACTCTCTGACCTGTATTGAAATGTACCCCTGGAGCAGGTATATCCCTCTGTATTCACGTGTTACTTCTTTACTATGAGGGTGACGGAGCACTGGAACAGGCTGCCCAGGGAGATAATGGAGTCTCCGTCTTTGGAGTCTTTCAAAACTCCAGTTGCTTTAGCAGGGGAGTTGGACTAGATGATCTCTAGAGGTCCCTTTCAACTCCAACAATTCCGTGATTCTGTGATTTCTGCAGCGTAAATCTTGTGTGCGTGTGTGCTTGGCGATGTGTTCTTGTAGGGGAAGGAGTCCTGGGCAGGATCAAGCAGTGACTCTTTGGTGGGACCTCTGCGTTTGCCTTCCCGTCGCTCCCTCCTCCTAATGGGAAATGTCTGGATGAGGCCATTGGAGCCTGTCCTCCCATGGCTCTCTCTGGGCTGTGGTTTGGAACAGATGCGGTCCTCAAGGTGCCTAGAGCAGTAGAAGCCATTTACGTCAGGGCTGGCCATGATACCGAAAGGTTTTCTGTCATCCTTAGGACAGGAAAGACATGGACCTGTTGGAGTAGGTCTAGAAAAAGACCACCAAAATGATCAGAGGGCTGGAACATCTCTCCTAGGAAGAAAGGCTGTTTAGCCTGGAGAACAAAAGATTCTGGGGAGACCTTATAGTGGCCTTCCAGTGCTTAAAGGAAGCTTAAAAGAGAGATGAGGACAGTATTTTTAGAAGTGTCTGTTGCAACAGGACAAAGGATAATGATTTGAACCTAAAAGAGTGGATTTAGACCAGATATAAGGATGAAAATTTTTAGGACGAGGGTGGTGAAACGCTGGAATGGGTTGCCCAGAGAGGTGGTCGATGCCACATCCCTGGAAATGTTCAGAGTCGGGTTGGACAGAGCTCTGAGCAACCTGATCTACTTGAAGGTGTTCCTGCTCATTGCAGAGGCGTTGAACTAGGTGACTTTTAAAGGTACTTTCTGACCCAAACTATTCTATGATGTTTTCCCAAAAGCTTATCTTTCAGCCACTTCCAGAGGTTTGATTTGAGCTGCCCGCTGAGAAGTAGGGCCAGGGCTTTGCAGTAGGTGAGCTGTCCACCTCTGTCAGGAGACTACATGGGGAAGAACATGGCAAGAACAGCAAAAAAGCCACTGAGCTTTAAAAACTGCTCTAAAGAGCCAGATGTTAATATCTCAAATCTATTTGCCTCTCAGAGTATGAGGAGTCTGTGGGTAGCAGCTGTTGCCCAATTAAAATAAAGATTAATACAAACCCAGTTTCTGGAATATAAAAGAGTGTCTGTGTCCCTCCACTTCCTTAAGATTCTGCTTCATAATGGCTTGATGAACTTGAGAAACCCACCTAGAGGAACTCTGCATTCTTAAAATTAAAATACTTTCCCTAAAAGGTATATATTACCATTCCATGGAAGTCACTATGAGAAAATAATCTTTCCACTTAGAGCTTATTCAGTGAGTCAGGTATTTGGTATTCATTAAATGTAATTACAGTTTAATTGGAGTTTAATCTCTTTTTTTTTTTTTTTCCCTTCCTCCGAGTTCAGTGCTGTAAGCCAAGCAACCAGAGAAATGAAAAGGTAGAAACCATTGAGCTCCTTTCAGTTGCCCTTACATTTAATAAAGCAGAGCCCTGTGGTTTGTGAGAGGGCTTATTTTATGTATAGCTTGGGCTGGTCTGTGTGGAAGAGTTACTTCTGGGTGAGGGCGACTGTCAGCACCTCTTGACTGGACACTGTGCCTGCTGGAGGCTTGGGTGCACGTGCAGGCAGCAGGAGCTGCTCCAAGGCTATGTTTGACCTTTACTTTATGAAAACGTGTGAGATGTGTGGCTTCAGGAAAGTGCCATATGAAGTGAAATCCTGTAGCGTGCACTTGTTTTAATAATGATTTTTTTAATTACTTGGGTGCATTGATGGCAAGCTACTGATCTCCGATATCCAATATGTTAAAAGACAGTTTTGTCAGTTTGGAGGCAGACAGAAAAATTATCTATTTTCCGTGTGCCTCAAGCTACCCTGAGCAGACAGAGGCAGAGACCCATGAGACAGCATCTTTTTATGCGTCTAGCTTTAAACAGCCAACCAGTCCGGGTACAGTCAGCAGGACTATCCGCTGGCAGGACCTGTTCCTAAAGAACCTCCTGGAAAGTAGAGTAGACCAGGGTTATGGAAGAAATAGGTTTTCTTCCGATTCTGTGCAGTTGTTTTAAATACAGTTTCAAAATGCAGAGGGATGCTGTGATGGACTGTGGGAAAGCACGTGTGCTGGGTGCGCTCTGGGTCTCACTGATGGTCTCTTCTGTTCATCTAACACTGTGCAATTCTGGTGTCACCGTGAGAGCAGGGGAGTGAGCAGACCTTGGTAGTTCTTGCTGTGTGTTTGAGTCAAGGCAACCACGAAACTGGTGAAATGCATGTTGAGAAGGGGCAGCATTTTTGGCATCGTGCTGGTACACAAAGCAGAGGACACCACTGCTGCCCTGCCGACAGGTTTTAAGGTGTGGATTGGAGCCCCTCTCCATTTCTGTGTTTGGGATGAAGCTGTGCCCTTGCCCGTGGCTGGCTCCTCAGTGATGTCCATGTGGGTCACAGGAGCATGTTTTGGTTGCAGCGAGATGGGCAGGAGAGGAGACCTCTCTAATGACCTTCTGAGTGCTGCTCTGACGCCTGCTTTCTGTTTGCCTCTCGTTTCAGCTGACTGGGATTATTCAAGGCATGGTGGATGGGCAGCCGAGCCTCCAGCAAGTGCTTGAGGTAAGCAGAGTAGCCTTTAGTTCCTGAACTCTGACCTCGGGTCCTGTCGTCCCCTCTTCATCTCTTTGCCTGCACCCTCCCCTTGCTGAGAATTGAACCGCGTAATTTGACTATGATTACAGCTTCATTAGAATAACATTTGCTGTCACGTTGGTGACACGCTGCTGAGAGTATTGAACCATTGATCTGTCATCTCCAGCTGTTCATGTCAAGGGTGCTGACAAGATATCCAAACTCCTGCCAGTAGATAGGAGAAGAGGCGATTCTTGCTTGAGCCAGTTCTAAAACACCAAGACATTGCTCGAGACCACAGCTCCAGGAGCTTCTGCTTTCGTTTTCTTTCTCCTCCCTCAGCACCTTATTAAATTAATTTTTGTCTACCTATTTAAATGCTCACTAATACATGTAGTATAGAAAGCAAATGCCTCTAAAATCTAATCTGGAGGATGTGCAAATGCAGATATAGCCTCAATAATGCCATCTGCTTAATACTGAATTCCTACAGCATTTAGAGCTTAATTAGCTTGGAAGTATTTCTCTATCAGTAGCTTTTGTTGGTAGTCAAATAGCAAAGGAAACTTCCTCAAGCAGAGCCTGCTTGGGCTGCAGGTTGGTGTTCGATGCATCGTCTCTGTCAAGATTTCTACTTCTGTGTTACCTAATTGTTCCTAATCGGAATAATTGCAACAATTGCTTATCTGAGGAAATCAAATTAAAGGCTTTAAAATCCTCCACGGAGGCAGCACTTCATGGGCGCTCACATTGTGGAGTTTCGAAAGGCTACTACTGCAGCCCCTTGCTCCGGGGAGCCTCCGGATTGCAGGGCTGCTGGGAAGATCCCGGCAGCCCAGGCGAGTCAGAAGTGTGGCTGAGAGGCTGGATGCTGCTCTCGGGGAAGCTTTGCTCCAGGAGGGCTTTTGTACAGTCGGTCAGAGAAGGATGCTCCATCTTCTGCTGGGAAGGCTGCGACAGTGACACGAGGCCAAAGACAGTGCTCTGCAAAGGTGACATTTTGCATCCTGGCAACCTTGTGACCCTGCCTGGTGCTCTCCAGAGAGCAGGTAGCAGCCTGTGCCTGCTTCCCCAGGAGGGAGAGCCCACTGGAGTATTACAGAAAAAGGTTCATCCTGTTTCGACAGGAGCTTCTTAGACTCTGTAAACATTTCTGTAGATATTAAATTTTTTTTCATGTGGATTGAAAAAGTGTTCGTAGAGCAGCGTGCTTCTAGGTTAAAGTGAGATTTCGGTCAGGCAGCTTCTGGGATATGCTAGTTTATTCAGGAGCGGAAGATGTCAAGCAAGGGAAAAGAGGAGGGTTTTCTTTTGCTGAAGCACTGGAAATGCTGCCAGTCAGCTGCCACTGGAAGATTTTGGGCGTGTCATTTGCTAGTTCTAGCCGGAATAAATGTCAAAGCAGGGATTTTAGCCTAGGTTAGTTTCCTTCTGGTTAATCCCAAAGGTTGGTGTGCGTTGTGCAGATTAACGTGGCCTGTTTCTGAAATGGATCCAGAACGTCTGTCCCTGTGGGAAGTTGTTCAGCAATAGTGGATTCACGGTAAATCCACACTGTACCCTGAACAAGCACCTCCTGAGAGCTCTAAGCAAGAAGCCAGCCTGGAGAGGAAGGGAACACATGGCTGTACTTGTTACTGCCACACAGTTCCTGCGTGTGCCCTTGCAGCATGCAAGAAATGCCGTAGGTGAGGGGTGCCGCTGCAGGATGCCGTGTTTTCCTCTCACTGGAGGGGGCACAAGTTAGACTTGCTGCTCACCCATTTGTTACAGGCAGAGGACAAGTGGAGGAGGAATGTCAGGTAACTGCGGTTGTATTGTCCCGTTAACGCTGCACAACTTCCATCCCTCCACGAGCAGAGCTGCTGCGCTGTCTGATAAGATCATCTCTGCTCTGGTTGCCTGATGTCTTCTATCAGAAATCTTCAAAGGTCCAAACGTGCTGTTGTTGAGATGGCAAGCAAAGAGAGAAGAGAGAGAGGGAGAGGATGGATAAGATCACAATTTTCTTCTCTCTTGATTGCAAGCAGCTTATCTGAGTTTAACTGTTGTGACTCGGCCTGTCTCTGCAAAACTCATCCCCTTTTCTTGCCTTCCTTTCAGAGGGTTGACGAATGGATGGCGAAGGAAGGCCTCTTAGATCCCAGCGTCAAGTCGATTTTTGTGACCTGTGGAGACTGGGATTTGAAAGTGATGTGAGTATGGAAGGGGAGGGAGATTTTTTCTGGGCTTTATTGCTCCATGCTTGCCTGTAGTGTGTGTGTCTTTGTCCTTATGAGCCTCTGACTGTTCCTAGTCTTTGTTTCTTAGGGAAATTGTTGTTTGCCGTGTGTAATTGGGAGTGGAGAGTTATTTAAGAAGACAGGTGGGTACTGGGCAGCGTAGTGCAGGATCACTGCCTAGGATATTCCTACAGCGAATTAATCCTTTCAGAACCCCAAGAAAGGTTTAAACTGGAGCTTTGTGATGTTATCCTCTTTATCTGGTAAACTTTCCAAAGGGATGGGTATTTCTGAGTGCATACATGGAAGTCTGTTTCAGTATGCTCAAATCAAGCAATAGTCCTTACCTGAAAGCACACGAGGCTTTCTCTCGGTCATCTTGGCACACTGACTGGATGTAAATCACAAAGTAGTCTTTGGAAAGAGAGTACAAGCCAGGGCTGGTGTGCTTCATCGGTGTTCTTATTGGTAAGGTCATCTTCATCAACTAGGTCACTGTATCTGGATAGTACCAGGTGAGGACCTGTACTGGGATCTGCAAGTGTCAATGTGAGCATTTGTTTTATTATGAACCTAAAAATGTTATCTAAAAAAACCAGAGTTAAATGTCTAAAAATTAGATTAGTCTAATCTGGAAATTATTTGCAGATCAGTGTCATGTTGTGCTGACTTCACTTGAATTCATGTAATCTTGCTTCAGCTTTTCATTTCCTCAGAGTGCTGGATAAAGATTCCTGTTGTTATCACACTGTTTACACTGGTGAAGCACGGGCTTGACACATCCGATGCTAAACTGACATCCACAACTCGTTAGTAGTGTTACTGGGTTTTCAGCGTGACATCGGTTTCCCGAAGTCGGAAGCCTAAATAAACTGCGCGCAGCTTGGGAGCAGTCGGCATCGGTTCTTCCCTGCAGAGTGGCCTTTGTAGAGTGGCAGCTCCTTGCCTCTTCTTGGTGTGATTAGTGAGACATGAGATATGAGGACTGAAGCAGCACAAGCGCTAGTGGAGATGAGAAATTTGCCATGTTCCAGACAGGAGTGTGGTTTGTGAGTTTTTTGACTCCAAATCTGGATCTCTGCAGGAGTTGTGTCCAGGGCTGGTGTATATTGCCAATTCTTGCGTTACTGGTTTAAATTAAGAGTGAGGCTTATTTTTCTTTATATATCATATTTAAACTTTTATTAGAGACCAGCACAAAGACAGCTGCAGGGATGTGTAAACTTCTGTTTCTCATCTGTTCTCTTTTCTCTGTTCTTTATTCCTGTACTGCTGTTCTGAGAGCCCAGTTTGCTACTTCTGGTGATGGTTGTGAGGAGCAGAGTTATCTTTGCTCAAAGCCCATCTTTCCGTCACTTTCACAGTGGGATAACAGGGTTCCTAACAGCGTCCTGACTTGGTGTCTGTATGGAGTGGGCAACCTTCTGCATGGTTGGGAGGTTTTTTTTGTGTCAGAGCTCTACAGTGGGCAGATAGAGGTAAAGATGAGCCCTGTTTCTGGTGAGCCCTAAGGGTTGTGGGGTGAACTGGCTCAGCAGGACATGCAGTTCTGTAGCAGAGATGCTCAGTTCACCCTTTGCAGTGGTTTCTCGCATGGGTTGTGCCTCACTAGTCAGCTGGAAGAGAAGACTCCACTCCTGGCCACGAGGTTGCAGCGAGTGGTTCATTTCTCCCTCTTCCTTTTAAAAAAATTTTTTAAACCATTAACTTCAGAATTCAATCCCGAAGCATCTCCAGGGCAAAGCAGAAAATACGTTTCGTGTTTCCAACCACACGGATAGCGGGAGGCTGGCTGCAGCCGCTTGGTGAGTAGCACATCACGCCGCTCCGTCGCGGATTGGGTGCCGCAGCGTGTAGCGTCACATCTGATTAGCGCCGTGCCAGTGAATGAGGCTTGAGTGAGGACTCCCTGCCAGCTCTGACTTGTCTCATTTCCCATTACTTTTATCCGTCACCACAAATGCCGAGTCTCCCTCCTGAACTAATTAAGTTTGCGTGTGTTTAGACACATTGCCAAATAGGGTTTAGCACAGCAGAACTGAGCATCTCTTTTTAAAAAGGGAAGGCAGAGGGCTGAGACGAGGCTGCTCAGGCAGGGAGACCGTGCCTCAGAGACGTGGAACTTCTAGGAGGTATTCTGGGGTTTTGTCCCGCGCTTCCCTGCAAGACTTGTGGTGTAGACGATGTCCTGTGCCACCGTGTTGAGACCATGTGCTGGGCACGATGGCACTGGGGCAGTGGGAGATTAAGTAGTGCTGCTTGTTCCCATTTGGAGGAATGTGCTGGTGGAAGCATTGTGTGGTAGAAACCCCACTGGGTTCCAGAGGAATTCGGGATAGTGAGGTCAGTGCAGTGCTTTCCTGCCTTGGGGAGCAGCAACTTGGGGCAGATCTGCTCCTAATTCCTCTTCCTCAGTGGTGAAGGCTGCTTGAGCAGCTGCTGTCCTCCCACCCAGTGTTTGGAGTTCCTGTCCTTCTCTGATTTTAGCTCAGCTATTGGTGGGAAACCGCGCAGCCTTGTTCATGGCTTCTCCAGCAGTGACCTAGGCATTTAGTTTGGCTTCTGTCTGCATGTGCTGTCGAAGGGCTGAGATGTGGTATCTTCTGAGCAGAGCTCTGCTGCGAGTGCTTCTGAGAGGTGCCACCGGTAGGGGCCAGGACACTGGGAGGCACAGTGGCATGAGTAACCTGGATGTGGAGGGAGTAGCTGAAACAAGGAGCAGGAATCTACAGATGGTAAATGGTGGGGATAAAGAGATACTAGCCGTGTCAAAGCTAGGAGTTGCAATTTGTGTAGCACTCCTAGCCCAAAGAAGAGCAGCAGATGAATAGCCATTGTCAAGGGACTGCTCTCTGCTGATGCTGCCTAGCTGTATCTGAGTTTGAAGGATCCAGCTGCTAAAGGACCTGTGAAGCCTCTGCTTGTCTCGGAGATCTTCAGGGAACGAGGCACTGTGTGGCTACAGACTGGATTTCTCTTGAATGTTGGAGCTTTCTTGGCCGATCAGAGAGCTGTTTGTCTGACTTCCCTCTGACAACAGGGAGCAGTAGTCACAGGGTGCCCAGAAAAGGACACCAGGCATCTGGGAAGGACTCACGGAGGTTCAGCATGAGCTGAGGGTCATCAGCTATGCTACCAAAGGCATTGTCGTGGATGTGATGCACCATCAGATGGAGGGATTTGGTTGCTGCTGGAAAGACCCTGTTGCATAAGAGGGCTCAGCAATGGAGCAGTGATCTTCTACTTGCTGCACTTGGATTGACCGGCTTTCAGCGCTCGCTGTGTGTGAACCAGGCTGGAGTCAGGGAGATGGCAGCTCTCCTGCCACCCCTCCCCTTCCCTCTTGTTAAGATGCAATTTCTTTAATGAGGAAAACCTCTTGAGTAGGAACATCACCTTTCTGAAAGCTTGTCCTGACAAGACAGTTCAAGACGACAGAGTCGCATATCAACTTCAGCAAATATCAGTCACTCATTACAGAGACTCCTCTCCCCCCCCCCCCCCCAGCAACACCCCTCGTTCCCAGACAAGGGAATGAATCACACTCCTGCTCTTGAATACATCATGACAAGTCGTGGTTCTAATGAGAGAAGGCCATTCATTCTGGATGGAAAGTTCCCTGTGTCGACACAGAAATGTTATTAATTAAAAGAGAGCTACCTGAAGCAAAAGATGAAAGGAGCACCAGACCTGCCAAGCTAAAATATGAGTGGGGATACAGCCTCGTTAGGCAGCCGGTCCTCGGGCCTCTGAGTGCTCAGCAGGAGGATTCCTTTAGCCTGTTGCAAGGAGCTATCCTCCAAGTTTAACAGCTCCAGGGATGGATTCAGATACCTGGCACAGTCTGCTTTAGTGCTTGGACCTTATCCTGCACCCAGGATGGAACTGTCACTAGTCATTAAGCAAATTGCATTGATGTGGTGTTGGGTGATGAGGGTAACGTGCCTCTGAAGGGCTGAGGGAGCTGCTGACTGCAGGAGACTGTTTTAGTGAAGAAGAGGGTACTCGGTGTCTGCTGGGGTTGAGCCCTTGTAATGTAAGCTCTTTAGTGTGGTTTATCTCCTCTGAAATGTCAAATTGCCTCCCTCCGCGTGTGAAACCGATTCACCTGTTCTTAAGCACAATGTGAATTAATCCTGGCAACGGGAGAAGTGTTTTTACTGTGCAGTCGTAGTTCCAGAGCTGCAATACGCTGAGCTTAAGTGATACGGTCGTGGTCGTGCAGAGGCAGAGAAAGGACCTGGAGCCACATGTTCTGAATCTCAGACCTGCACCTTAATGCCAAGAGCACCAGTTAATCCTTTTCCTTCCAGTTCTGGATCGTTTCGCTAATGCATTCAACATAGGTAAAATTCATGTAGGCTTTGGTGTATATATGTCTGACATGAAGGTGCTTGTGCTGCACTTACTGTAGCTGATCAGAACATGCTAATTTATGTCTTCACAGGAAACCACTGCTCAGAAGTTTTTTATTTTCTTAAATAAGTGTTAAAAGGCAAGTACTCTCTAATATAGTGATAAAACACAGTAAGTGTCTTGAAATGTTTATAGCCCTTGGTGCTCTTTCCAGGTTGCATATTAGTAAATTCTGAGCGGTAAATTATACCATTGCTTAATTTTATCTTACTGTTTTGGTTCTTTCTTCGTGAGTTAGACAGGCTGGGAGGATGCCTGCTGCCTCAGGCCAGCTCCCAAGTGTGGCAGTGGGTTGGTCTTTCCAGCCTTGTGACCTGGAGGCATGGTTTGAGATCAGCCTTGGGTCATGAATGAGCAAGAATTGACGGTGTTAGTGTCCCTTGTGCGAGCTGTTCTTTATCACAGAACTGGGAGGGCCTCTGCCTGGGGTAGGAGTGGCAATTAGCCGTGGAACTAACGGGTGGGACTGCTTGGGTAGCCCTGAGGAGAGGCAGGAGAAGGCGTAGGGTGGGCTGGTAAGGTGGCAGCAGGACAGGAGTTAAATTCCGAGGGTGACG